TACATATCATCTTGAGTAGAATAAATACCTCTAGTTATAAACGTTGATGTCTAGTTGATCAAATTCTCATACTTCCCAGGTTCGAAATTCAGTTCAAAGTCATAGTCAAGTTCAAAGTCGTAATCAAAGTCAGAATTGTAAAGTCTATCGAAGATGGGGACGACGAGAGGCAGGTAATTCACAAACACACACACACACACACACACAGAGTACAGAAAAATAACTTTCCCCCAATGTCATCATCGCACTTGCCTTTTATGTGGGGGCTCTCTTCTCGAGATTTCCCCATGTATGTCACAGGTGATGATCATCTTTGACCAATGGTGGGCGAAGTGACAAAATTATGACACAACAGTACTCATCTTCTACAAGGAAGTATTTTCATGTAAACGGAGTTTTATGAGTGATTTTTATGAGAAAATTTTATCGGTTTTTCTCTTTTTGAGTTAACTCTAATTCTTATAAAATCGTTTTTGGGCTGAAACAAAAATGGTAGATGAAAATGAATAAAAATATTTGAATCTCAGCCTTCTTAAATCCGGGCCCTCACATAAAGGAGTAACAAAAATAATATCTGAGAAATAAAGAACATTGAAGAGCTCATGATGGAACCTGAAACGGATCTGACGACAGAAGAACGCCAAGAACTCTTGAATGAAAAACACCAAGAAACTCAGAGAGATATGTTTTCTTCTGAAAAAAGAGTTAATGTCTGTCAATATCTGCTATTAAACATTTTTTTGAAGAAGTGGGAGGATGTCAGAATGACAATCTTAAAATGGCATCCAAACTAGGTTGAGATTAATAGGCTTGGGGATCTGTACAATTACAATGCTATTAATAACTTCTGAAAAATCCTGAAGAAGAGAGAAAAGCAATCAACATTAGACAGATTCTTTAACACCCACAAACGGAAAAAACATGACTAATAAAAATGTAAGACTGTGTATATATGTATTTTTATTATTACATAAGTAAACATAGTAAAAAAGTATATATTCTTTTATTTTTGGGGATCTCCAGAACAAATTAATCAAATTTCCATAAAAACCTATGGTAAATCAATAATCGGTTAACGAACAATTTGGATAGTGNGGTCTCCAGAACAAATTAATCAAATTTCCATAAAAACCTATGGTAAATCAATAATCAGTTAATGAACAATTTGGATAGTGAACAAAGTCTTGGAATGGATTATGTTCGTTAACCGACCACCCACTGTATATTCTATCAACAGCTCTCTTGTTTTATTTCTGCAAAAAGCAGCCAATCCACATTCTTTAATTCTGTTGGCTTTATAATAGTCTAAATCGGACCATTCCTGCTTAAATTTTGAGATCATCCTATTTGAGTATTTAAATTAATCAATATCAGAAACCTCAAATCTGGCACAATAATCCAAAATAAATTTGGAACGTAAGGTATAGTCAATAACTGATGCACCTCTCAGCAAGATAAAAGTTTTGCCACCAGGATAATCCTCTTCCACATGACCATTTGGGATAAACAGTTTTGGGCAAATTTAAGTAATAAACTTCCTTTCTTATTAAGTCTTAAGTTGTGACTATTACTTATATTAAAAACTGCAGGGTTATTCCTGTTGTAAATTGAATCACATTCATTTCCTATTCTGGCATTAAAATCCCCAATAATTGACCATAAAGAAGTGAAATGTGACCAGTTCTCTAAAATTTTTTCCATTTCTTCAAATGGACACTGTGAAGTATACTCCTCCATTTGAAATGTTTCAATTATAGCAAGATGTTACTAGGGAACTTACTAAATTTACAATTGCTTAACTTGATCAGAACAAATATTATAACTCCAATATAATAAAAGTATACTCTTATTGGAGTTATACCATGTTTCTAAAGATTTAGTTATTACTTAATAACATCATTCATCCCTTCAGTCTACCAACTCCTGATTTTTTATTGCTGGAACAAAATATAAATGTATGATTTTTGCTGGAGCTCTGTCTCTTTTTCAGTTAATTTAGTAATCCAAGTTTCTTCTAATCCTAGAATATCATACAAAATTAATAGTTTTTAAAATAGAAAAATACTTGCTCCTTGCACATTGAGTATTTTAGTTAATAAGTTCAATCTCAGTTTCATTAAATCTCAATATCTCAAAATTGTCACTATGATATTGGTTAACGTTATCATTTACAGCTCTAAATAAATTAATCAGTTGATTACTACATCTAAAATAGACCTAGTGTCAACCAAATAGTCTGTTGTAAAACTATGTAAACTTTTTATTCCTATAAATTATATAATAGTTTCTTAATAAAGCTTGCATACCTTTCTTTTTTTGCTTTTATATAAACCAGAAAATGAGCCCGGTATTGCCTGGGCAAAAAACAAGAAAGATTAAGATTATTCGATTATTTCGTACTTCTAATCCTTCTATTCTAGTAGTCCGGGACGCTCTCAAGTGGGCATTCTAGCAACAATGGTGTCATTTTGTGATATAAATAATAAATTCCTATTACATATAAAAATAATAATATACTGAATTTCTTGTGGCATACCCTACTAAAACGCAGCCAAAAATGCAAAAAACCACATCAAATAATAATATACTGAATTTATTGTTAATTTAAATATCTAGGGGCACCCTTAGTGGCCAATTTTGGCATACGGTGACAGAAAGAAAGAATCCAGTTTTTTTTAAATAGTACTTAACTCACTTTTTATGATAGTGGATTCTTATTTTCTTATAAGATCTAAGTATTTCTTCCTCTTTAAGCTCTGCCAATTTCAGGGTCTCCCTAAAGAACTTTAACAGACTTTCCTTAATATTCATGCTATCTGTCATCAGATAGTCAAATAACATCTGATTAAGTTACTAGTTATATTTAAAACATTATTTGCCATGTATTGGTGTACTTCCATTTTCCTATCTAAATCCAGTAAAGCTGTTTCTAATTTATTGACCTTCTATTCCAACAAACCAATCTTGTGTTTTAAAATTAATATTGGTCTTAAAATCTTTAATATCTTCATGAATCAAACTTACAGTATAGCATCGATTATCCGAATAGCGATCAACTGAAATGTCAATTAACCAAAAGCTTTCCAGTCGGCAAATTTAAATTTCCACTAGTGCTATAATGCTGTAATATTTGGCAATGTCTTAGGCTATTCCAATATTTTTGTTGGTGTGTGTGCTTTAGCTGGCAGCACTAGTGCAATCATGAGAGGATACTTAAGGATGTGCCAGGATTTGAATGAATTTCAACATGGGATAGGTTAATATATTTTTTCTTACATAATCGGTTATCCAAAAAATCGATTTTCCGAACAACCCGTCTCCAATTGATTTGGATAATCAATGATCTACTGCAGGTGTGGCCAAACTTTTATCCCTCAGGAGCTACTTTTTTGGTAAAATATAGTCTGCAGACAACTATGAATATGGGCAAACATTTTTAGGATTTTTATATGCACATGCATTAACATTCATTTGCATTGTTCATCGGTATAAATACAAACAGTATGGGTACATTGCACAGACAGTCTATTATTGTAAGAATAAATCATCGAATTAAGATTTTTAAACATTAATTTAAGTGAAAGCAAATTGCTCAACTTAGCTTTGTAGGCTACTTTCAAAACCTTTGTGGTTGACTGTGGTCTACGTGTTGGCCATCCCTGCTCTACTGTATTTCTGTTTTAACCTCCAAAATTTGTTCAGTTATAGAGCTATGTGATACTTGAATCAGTTTTGTCATGAAATTGGCAGTGGTCAAATTCTCATCTCTCTCCATCAACTCAAGACATTTCACTAGTGTAGACTCAAAATTAGTTTTCTTCTCTTCTTTTACATTTTCTTGCCTCTCAATACCCAGGGATGTCAGTTTGCTTACAGGACATTGTTTCCACATTGACCAGTTTGGACGTCTTAACTGCATTACTACTACTAGTCAGATGCCTCCCTCTTTTCAACAGAGTGCAAGAGAGGTCTTGATTTTTCTGTACAGTAGCCATTATAAGTAATAACTATATAATTATCCATAGGAGATGGATGAATTGGTGGCATTCTTTCTCTAGACAAATTCACTTACTGTAGATTCATGCCAACATCATCAATTTTTTGAAGCTCCCCTGTTTTAAGGCATAATTATTTATATATTACGTTTTTACATCTAGAAATTCATCTAAGCCTAATTATTAAAAACATGAAACATGATCTATATATATAAATTTTGTTTTGTTTGTTACACACACACCTGGCCATTTGATCAATTGCTATGAAATTTTGCATTTACACTAACATACTTCTAACTTAGATAATGTCATAAATATCATTCCAAAATATTAATTGGATTTTTATATATCAATTAATTTCTGTCTACATTCAATTTGCTGGGTTTATATGTAGTGCATCTATTGGTAACAAATTTAAGAAAATAATAAACTAAGTATAATTCTTAAAATGTATATAATTTAAAAAAATATATATTATATTCACATAATTACTGTGACAATGATATAGTGCAAAATAAATGTGCTATATCATTGCTGCAACACGTAGCGCACAGCACTTGCCTGCCTGGAATCAAAAGTGTTATCCTGTAAAAGGTCTATAATTATTTAATTTTCCACATCTAACAGCTCGGGTTTTTTTCTGAATGGTACTTCTTAACTCTAACGAGTGATTATTTATTGTGATATTATCACAATGCTGGGCTGCAATTTTTTGTCACAATGTTTCTCAAGTTTTTAGTGTTATGCCCCTGTACGTCTTACTTTCCCCATTAGCAGCAGAGTCATAATAGGTTTTCAGATAAAAATTTTAAGAAGAAACACAATGTTTAACTTTGCAAGCTCTATAACAATATTAATATATTGAATATATTGTATTTATTGTCATATAAGAATTTGTGTTTATTCATTTTTCAATTACAGAAAGCTGTATCAAAATTAATCACTTTAATCTGTATAAGTGATTTTATTTAAAATTAAAAATGAATTTATATTTTTGTAGATTAATTTCAGTTATTTCTTAAAAATATATATTCTTTAATATTAAATTCAGTATATCTAGAACTTCAAGATCTTTTGGCAGGTTATCAAAATCCATGTGTCATGGATGTAAAAGTTGGAATACGTACTTATTTAGAAGATGAATTAGCTAAGGCCAAGGAGAAATCTAAACTCAGAAAAGTAAGTATGAATGTTTTATTTTAAAAGATGTTGAAATAAATGGAATGGCTTTGGTAGCAGAAGACTGCTTTCTTATGAGTCAGGTGTTTGTCTAGATGGGTAAATACATGGATGGGCAATTCCCATGTGATATTTTTAGACAACATCCAGGTTTCATCCAGATATTGTCTAGGTGTCTCTTCATACCAAAATTCTTTCTACTGGTTGATAGTGAGTATTCTTTCAGTCCATTGCAATGGATGACTTGCATGGGAAAATTGCCATCCTGTTTTCCTGGTGTAGTTCCCTGATAGAACTGACAAAATAGTGATATGGAACTTGCATAGAAGCTAATCAAAGATACTAAGATGACTAATTATCCAGATCATGTGAATACACACATTTGGTCCAGTGCCCCACTAAATTGACATGGGCAGACATCTATACCAGGCCCATAAACTCATAAGCAGAAAAATCTGGGCAGATCTGTCATCTGACTGAAATTTCACATCTGTATAGTGTGAAGTCTTGTATCTCATGCAATGCACTGCTATTTATCTAGATGATAATCAATGCTGAAGTTTTACTCAGATGGGCAAACACCCAGATCATGTGAAAGTGGCCCAGGACTACAACTCACTTCAGTTGTAATGACCACTATTTTTTATTTTATTGCGAGTCTCTAAGAATGTTTTAGTGAATGTTTCATTGTAGAATCTATTAGCAGAATAGGAAGTCATAAAAAAGTATACTAATTTATTTTAAAACATGTTAAAATAAAAATTTTAAAATTTTCAAACTTTCTAGTTTTTATTAATTTAAAAAAATATATATTATATTCACATAATTACTGTGACAATGATATAGTGCAAAATAAATGTGCTATATCATTGCTGCAACACGTAGCACACAGCACTTGCCTGCCTGGAATCAAAAGTGTTATCCTGTAAAAGGTCTATAATTATTTAATTTTCCACATCTAACAGCTCGGGTTTTTTTCTGAATGGTACTTCTTAACTCTAACGAGTGATTATTTATTGTGATATTATCACAATGCTGGGCTGCAATTTTTTGTCACAATGTTTCTCAAGTTTTTAGTGTTATGCCCCTGTACGTCTTACTTTCCCCATTAGCAGCAGAGTCATAATAGGTTTTCAGATAAAAATTTTAAGAAGAAACACAATGTTTAACTTTGCAAGCTCTATAACAATATTAATATATTGAATATATTGTATTTATTGTCATATAAGAATTTGTGTTTATTCATTTTTCAATTACAGAAAGCTGTATCAAAATTAATCACTTTAATCTGTATAAGTGATTTTATTTAAAATTAAAAATGAATTTATATTTTTGTAGATTAATTTCAGTTATTTCTTAAAAATATATATTCTTTAATATTAAATTCAGTATATCTAGAACTTCAAGATCTTTTGGCAGGTTATCAAAATCCATGTGTCATGGATGTAAAAGTTGGAATACGTACTTATTTAGAAGATGAATTAGCTAAGGCCAAGGAGAAATCTAAACTCAGAAAAGTAAGTATGAATGTTTTATTTTAAAAGATGTTGAAATAAATGGAATGGCTTTGGTAGCAGAAGACTGCTTTCTTATGAGTCAGGTGTTTGTCTAGATGGGTAAATACATGGATGGGCAATTCCCATGTGATATTTTTAGACAACATCCAGGTTTCATCCAGATATTGTCTAGGTGTCTCTTCATACCAAAATTCTTTCTACTGGTTGATAGTGAGTATTCTTTCAGTCCATTGCAATGGATGACTTGCATGGGAAAATTGCCATCCTGTTTTCCTGGTGTAGTTCCCTGATAGAACTGACAAAATAGTGATATGGAACTTGCATAGAAGCTAATCAAAGATACTAAGATGACTAATTATCCAGATCATGTGAATACACACATTTGGTCCAGTGCCCCACTAAATTGACATGGGCAGACATCTATACCAGGCCCATAAACTCATAAGCAGAAAAATCTGGGCAGATCTGTCATCTGACTGAAATTTCACATCTGTATAGTGTGAAGTCTTGTATCTCATGCAATGCACTGCTATTTATCTAGATGATAATCAATGCTGAAGTTTTACACAGATGGGCAAACACCCAGATCATGTGAAAGTGGCCCAGGACTACAACTCACTTCAGTTGTAATGACCACTATTTTTTATTTTATTGCGAGTCTCTAAGAATGTTTTAGTGAATGTTTCATTGTAGAATCTATTAGCAGAATAGGAAGTCATAAAAAAGTATACTAATTTATTTTAAAACATGTTAAAATAAAAATTTTAAATTTAAAAAATATATTTAAAGTATAGTATGTAAGATGCAATCTGATTTTTGATAAGATATTTTATGTTTCTAATAATTCTTTTTTATAATAAATAAATTACTGCATTTTTCTACACACAATTTTTTCTATTCTGTTTTTAAGAAGCAGAATAAAAAAATTGTGTGTAGAAAAGTGCAGTAATAAACAAGCAGATAATAAATTTTCTTTGCATTATGTTTACAAATGTAACTAATAAAAGAAAATATATCAAAATTTTTAATGCTGTAAACAAATAAAAATATTTTTGCATGCCTTAAACTAATATTTAATTTCAGAAGATTGAATGAAATATGTACATACAGGTATTCCTTGTATAACATAGTAAATACATTCAAAACAGTTTTGTTTTTACAATAAATTAAATTTTAATACTGTCTTCATAATCTGATTGACATATTTTTTTTAAGTTAATGAAATTCTGTATAAATAGATATTATACAGAATTTGCATCCTAAAAACATTTTTTTTTTGTAGTCTAGGTAAATTTCAGTATAAAGTTTGCTATTACATTTGAAATTTATCTGAAAATATAAAATATTTAGATGCCAGAACATTCAGTGAAAGGAAAATTGTCCACAGAGCATTTAAATGTAATATAATAATAATTAGAAATATCTTTAGAAAGAAGTTGTGGTTTTTGATTATGAATTTTAATATTTCTATCATTATGAGTGCATTTTTATATATATACTGTAAAATGCATACATTTATATAGTTTATATATAAATGTACATGGTTTTAATATTTCATTATATGTAATTTTATATAATTTACAACTACTGTAGCCTATGATTTGAATATAAAGTTGATCTGAATCTTCCAAGGTCAGCATGACTAGTTAAAACTTTTTGTATTTTTCTAAATGTCCTTCATGATGTTAGCTGATTATTTGAACAATTTACTTAATGATGTCAGTTATGTTCTTTGCCATGTGATAAAAAAATAATATTGTTTTATTTGTCATAGATATATTATATAGTTGAAACAATAGTTAGGAATCAGGAAAATATAATTATAATACAGTGCTTATTCTTTTTTCTATATATTTTTCTAGAAATGGAAATAAACAAACTTATATCCTATAGTGGATACAAAGGGAGAACTGCAGAGGCTTAAGCCCTCTCTGTTGACACACACACATACATAAAAAAAAAAGTAATAAATGATCTTAATATATTTGCTGAAGCTTCAGTATGGTTTATTGGATCGTCTGCAATACAATTGTGCACATGTTAATGAAAAGTAGTAGTAATTATTATTCAAATATTTTTAATTTTTGAGTTCTCTCCTTTAGATTCTTCTGGATTCTCTACTACATACAGTAAAATATATTATGAAATGCATTTTAGAAAACTATTTTCGTAATTAAGAAAAACAGATACACATTTTTTTTACTTTTATAACTACAACCCCATGGTTTTAAGTAAAACAGGGATTTTTAATTTAAGAAAAAAGTACAAAAAATAAATTTCTGCTATCTATATCTTAAAGTTTAAACTTAGATCTGAACATTTTTAAGCAGCCATTAGGTTAGACCAGGGGTCGGCAACCTTTTGAGTCGGAAGAGCCAAAATTACAATTTACAAAATTTCAAAGTTTTTAAAGAGCCACAAAATTTTTTCTTGCCAACAATAAATACTATGCGCATAAAGAAAGTTTTTTGATAAAAAAAACTAATCTATTTATTCATAAGAAAAAATATCTATTTATTCATATATAAGTAGTGTTTTTCACATCAAATTAGATAATAGAAACATCCGACGACAGCGTCATTTGAGAGCTTCCGACAGGCTGACGACAGTGATGACGCGTGTCACGGGGGAAGGGTGCGGTTAAAAGCGAGTACAGGTGGCTGAGAGATAGAATCAGTGCCTAATCCTCGTTAATTGATTCAGAACGATTTTTAAATGTTTTTTTTTTTTGATAAAATAAATAATATTTGCGTATGGAACTAAAGAGCCGCAACTTCACATCCAAAGAGCCGCATGTGGCTCGCGAGCCGCAGGTTGCCGACCCTGGGTTAGACCCATCTAATTAAGCTATTGTCTCAATTCCTTACACTCTTTCTCCAATCAACTAATCAGAAAAATTATTTCTGGATATTCCATATCTTTTCAATTTCTGAATTCTTCTTTTCACTTGTTTCAATGAAACTTTGTATTTATTAGTTACATTTATGAACTGTGAAAAGATTGACTTTGTGTATTAACTTGATTTTCCACAAAAAACTTGCAGGTTACAAAACTGCACTTCTGTTCAGTTATTTGACTTATCTGATATAAAACCCAAACAGCTTTCTTTGGTTCCTCCTTTCAGATTTTTAACATAAATCAACCTACAGTTAATCACCAATTTTGGTATTTGTTTGAGAAATGGTGATAAGATGGCTCATTACTGGATTATTTTCACTGGTAATTTATTATGTCCCAGGTTTGTAATTGTCATCGTCACTTAAAACTTCATTATTCAAATTACTCAAAACATGATGTGGAATTAGGATTGGTATTGGCAGAATTTTTGTCATACTCTGAATATTGATGATGATTGTCTAAACTTTATATAAACACTTTTCTACTGCCATTTCAATTTTTTTTTTCACTGCATGGCATGCCTGTTTGTTGTTCCTTCATTGTTTCCAAACTTCATTTCCTTTAATTCAGAAAAAGTATTTATGG